AAAAAAAATAAAAGTAAATTTTTAAAATACAATAAAGAAAGTAAATAAAAGAATAATAGTAATTAAAATAAAATTAATTAACTAACTGTTACTGCACACTCTTTTTAGATAGACTTGCACGATTAAGAAGTTCAGCAACGTCAGCGATACCAGTAAAAGTGGTTGTAATTACTTTGACACTAGTACATACAATTATAGCAGTAATAACATCAGTTGTAATAGTTCGTCCAACGTTGTTTGGCGATAACCAATGCATCTACGGAGGAGAATATTTCTTAAGCAAAACAGAAGAAATATGAAGAGATGACTTGTCGCTTCTGCTATGGCCAAACTGACCGGTTGTGGAAAAGATGATGCGTGCACGATTTTGGGGTTGTTGTTTAAAGTCGAAACTTAACACATTCAGTACTGCCAATTGGGTTTTTAATAGGCTGCACTGTACATATAACAGCCCTGTGAATGGGCACGTTCTTCTCTTATGATATAATTGGATCATCATCATCATCGTCATCAATCATTGGCTTTTTTATACCTTGGATCAGGGTATAGGCCTCGAGCAAGCACTTTCCACCTTTCCCTTTCCTGGTTCCACGTGGTCGTGCCCTTGATTTTTTACCCTGTGGGTTCCAATCCAACACTTTCTTTGTTAAGCAGCTGCCTGACTTCCTGAAAGTATGTCCAATCCATCGCCACCGCCTTCTTCCCACCTCATCTCTGACTGGGCTCTGTCTTGTTCTTCTTAACGCTTCATCGTTGGTGACCCTGCCTGTCCTTCTGACCCCCAGTAACTTCACCAGACACTTGTTCAAGAAATTAGAATTGGATATTGTAGGGTTAATCCATATTCGGACACCGTGGCATTCCTTGTCGCTGCAGCTTGTCGCTTTCTTTGACGCCGTTACACACTACTAGTTTCTTTGACTGTGTGTAGGCTATATATCTTCTTCCAGCGTGTTGCCTTTTAACAAGTGAAAAAGTAGCCCGTAGCACATGCCACACATGTATGTGTGTGTGTATGTGTGTGTGATATATATATATATATATTCCTAATATGCAGAAGAAATCCATTTTTGTGCCCCAAAGGGTTATGATAATATTCGTATTATAACAACATTGATGAATCTCATTTCATATTTACTCATGCATAAAATGCCCAATTTTTTTTTCCCTCAGTGCGCTCTCTCAAAGATTTCTTTTATATACGCCAAAATATAATATCTTGGCTATACACGCATTGCGAGTCAAGACTTGCGTTCTGGGGATATTTTCTATAACTTATAACATGACCGTCTGATAAATGTTATGATTTACTCTTATTAGCTAAGTCTCCCCAAAAGAATTAGGCTTAAATTGTTTGATTGTTTTTTTGTTTGTGTTTTTGTTTTATTTTGTTGTTGTTGGGTTTTTTTCTTCTTTTTTTTTTTTTGGGGGGGGGGGGGGGGGTAGTTATCTTGCCTGTCTACGCAAAACCAGTCAGATCAGGCGAGTGCATTCACTGAAAATATGACTATATGCTACTTTGCTCTTTATCTTCATTTTACCGTAATCTAAATTTGGTAAGGTTGATGCGAATTGTTTTATTTGCTTCTGGGCCATTTGTCTACTTTAACAGAATTTTGGTCACACATGTGTTGGTGATGCATAAGCTGTGGACTAGTATCCGTACGACATGGGGAACTCTGTGCCACCACTTTCCAAAAAGAAAATTTACTTGTTAATCCGATCCATACGCTTTGCATAGCAGTCTGTCAAAATGATTTTTGGGATATACTGAAAGTTTCAATGAGATCTTCGTACTAGATGTATTCTAAAATGTGAAGAATACAACCCCGTGGGTACAAAATGACCCCAGGGCGTACGGATAGGGTTATGAGACAACATGAGGTAGCCGTGACATCATGCATGAAGGACAGCTGAAGGAGACCGTTACCCTTTTTCTTGAGTATTATTTGATTGTAGCGTGTCTTTTCTGTCAACTTTTTGGGATGGTTGGAGGGTAGTTCCAACTTCTTTTTTTTTCATTTTGCTGTTTTGGCAGTCTGCTGATCTGTCTTGCTTATTTTCCTTGCTCTTTTTTTTTTTTTTTTTTTTTGGGGGGGGGGGGGGTTTTACGGCGCTTGCAACTGCATACGGTCATATGAGCGCACGGGACACATCCAACATTTTCAGTTGGTAGGAAATTTTGAATTTTTGCCTGGGTGGCGGCTGAAGCGTTTGTCGATTTTGGACCACCAAGGAATCTTTAACGTGCGCAACTTGCCCGAGAAGGCCAGGTGTATGTCTTCCCTACCATGAAGATCAGGGGTGTGGCTGAAAGACAGCAGTACGAAGGAGTCAAGGAGAAGCAGTAGAAAGGCTGCAGAAAGAGTCAGGAGCCCTGAGGAGGGGTCTAAGAGATGAAGGGAAAGGAGCAGAAAGTGGAGACGAAAGCAGACGACAGAACACGAGAGCCCCCTTCCTTGCTCTAAATGATTGTTAATATGTCGATGTGTGTCTGTGAGAACTGCTGCTTTTTCTTTTCTCCTCCTTACTATCGTCATTTTTTTCTCTACTTCTTCTGTATGTTTGTCACTCTCTTGTGAGCTGCTATTTCCGGGATGTCTTGATAGTCGAAGACAACTTTGTGCTGTTGAGGCTAGAGAGGTGAGCAGAGTAAGCCTGATTCCCCGTTTGGACTTCTCTGTTGACATCCACCCTTTAGCGCTCATATGACCTTATGCAGTTGACTCCTGAGAACGCTGTAAAACCTTACTTCAACTAAAAGCTAAAAAACTCTAAGCTCAAAGGTTTCTGTGTGGGTGGTTGGCGGGTGCTCTGGTGTGGTTTGCTCCTTCTTTCCTGCAAAAAAATCTATCGTCTTGATCTCCCCTCCTTTTTTTGTGTTCGTTACTCTCTTATAGCACCTCTAATATTCGGCTCTTATATGACCCTATTGTGTTGCGAGTGCCGTAAAACTCTTACTAAAACAAAACTTTTCTGTCAACAGAAATAGCTGTGAGCAGTGACCGCAGACAGAGTGAGTCTTCCCACCGTCCCGCCCACCCTTTGACCCCCCCACGCCACAGCGACAATGGTACCCGCCCTGGGCCTGGTCTCGCTGGCCTGGGCCGTGTCGTGCCTGGTGCTGACCAGCGACGCGGCCGTCCAGGACCTGACGCAGTGCTGCAAGTGTGACTCCCTCATGCCCACCGACACTCCCGACGGACGCCAGCCCCAGGTCATGCCCTCGCCCTTCAGGATCCAGGTGCAGGAGGAGCAGTACGGTCTGGGCAGTGAGATCCATGGTCAGTTTGCTTTGGTTTGTTTTGTTAGTGGGTTTTTGTGTGTGTGTGTGTGTCTCTTTTGTTTATTTTGTTTTGTTGGGGGGGTGTCTCTTTTGTTTAGTTTTTTTTATGTGTGTTGGGGGGGGGGGGGGAGGTTGTGTGTGTCTTTTTTGTTTATTTTGTTTTATTTTTGTTTTTTTTTTTTTTTTTTTTTTGGGGGGGGGGGGGAGGGGTACATGATATTTGAACTTTACTTTACTTTTACTTTATGAGTATGATTAAGTTCCAGTTCACCGGCATCTGTTGTGTAGCTATAGATGCTTTGCTGGGTTTTTTTTGCAGGAAACATAGGTTTGATTCCCATGTGTTGAGGATGTGTATTAAGTGTGAGTCATTCTGCTGGGTGGGATGTTGTATCTCTCTTTCTGCCCAGGTTGGCCGTGACAGGCAGGGTTGAAGCGGTCCGTCTGCTCAATTGTTTAAATAATGTCTGTTCCTGTCTTCATCATCTAGGTTGTACTGTGCATCTTACAGGAAGGCACTTGATGGGTGGTTGATGGGTGCTCTGGTTTGGCTTGCTCCTTTTTTCCTATCAACCATCTATCATCCTTTTCTCTCCTACTTCTTTTTTTTTGTGTATGTTGCTCTCAGTGTAACACCTCGAATCTTTAGCACGTGTATGACCTTACTGTGTTGCAAGTTTCATAAAAACACTTACAAGAAAAAAGAGGGCACTTTTCTCGTGTTGTGTCAGTTCATTAGCCGCGAGGGGATGCACTTAACAATCAGTAAAGGTGGAATTTGTGAATGACTGTTATGCACCTAACAGTCTGTTGCTTATGGGGGAGGGTTGGGGGAAGGGGGAATTCTGAGAGTGTAGTTCAGTGAAGATGGTGACAAGAGTGTCTTTCAGGGACAAAGTTGCGCTCCTTTTGCCCTGTGTTGTTGATTGACCACTCATCCTGAACCCCCCCAGCCCTCAGGGCAGTACTACTTTCTGAAGTGTAAAAGGGGATATCAACATGTTCTTATGCACAGTAGAGTTGTAAATCTACTGATTTATCAATGTCATGCTCATACTGTGCTGGAACAATATAGGGGAAACTGCTGCTTTTTCTTTCCTCATTCTTGCTTACGTCATTTTCCTCTACTTCTTTTGTATGTTTGTCACTCTGTTGTGAACTGCTATTTCCATGATGCCTTGATAGTCGAAGCAGACTTTGTGCTGTTGAGGCTAGAGAGGTGAGCAGAGTAAGCCTGATTCCCCGTTTGGACTTCTCTGTTGACATCCACCCCTTGGCGCTCATATGACCTTATGCAGTTGCGAGTGTCATAAAACCTTTACTAAAACTTTTTTTTTTTTTTTACTCATCCTGAAACCATCTCATCCTCAGTGAACCTGGTGGCCACGGAAGGACGTGCCTTCCGCTCTTTCATCCTGGGTGCCTACCCATACCCATACATCCGCGGCAAGAAGCCAGTCGGTCAGTTGACCCTTCTAGACGGCCAGGACTTTGAGGTTGGCCGTGAGTGTGACCAGACAGAAGGGCAGCCGGGAGCCCAGGCAAGCGCTGTAAGTTTTCTTCATATTTTGACAGTCTTTAAAGAAATGTTCTTTTATTATCACTTTGTGGTTGATGGTACTTTGCAGACTCTCTCTAAACTACAACTGAACAACAACAGTATTGTCTCTTGAAGTATTGGGTTCTCAATCTGCTATTTGAATGTAAATGAGCATCGGCTAGAAGATGGGGTAGGCCAAACATGAAAAGAGAAAGATGTTCTGTGGATTTGTATAGACATTAATTTGTAATTGTAAAATTCAGCATTTTCCAACAAGGTGCAGTTGCGTTTGAGTGAGGGATGAGTGTTCCATTTGAAGTGGTTCCTTCTTTCCTGTCACCCTTTCTTCTTCATTTAGATGTTGTGTTTCTTATGTTTCAGTCTTATTTCCATTATCACTTCTCTTAGTCTTAAGTTACGTCATTTCTGCTTTGGTTGGTCATTTCTCGCTCAGTGCCATACATTGATTTCAGGGCTATTTCTTTATTTATTATGTCATTGTAAGGCAGAGAAATGCAACGGTCAAATGTTTTGTTTTTCTTTAGAGAGACACTCTCTTTGGTCTTCTTCCAAAGGTAATCAAATCTACTAAAAATGTGCTTTGCTCTAATTATGTTGATTTTGATCCCAATTATTTCAATCCTGGGTTGTTTTTTTTCCCTTATGACCAATGACAACTGAGTTCCAAAATAATTTTTGTGTTACTGTTGAGACATGGACCGAAACATTTTGTCCCTGCCCACTAATTTTTGCTATGTTATGTTTTATGTTTGGTAATTGTTTTATTAAGACAAAATTCTTCTGGAATGTCTTTTCTGATTCCAATTTGTTTGCAGTAGTAGTTGTTTTTGTGGCTGGTGTGCTCTTGAGACCCTTGACCTTCCTGTGCTCAAATCTATGAACTTAAAGATGAAATCATTTGATCGTAACTTTTTTCTCTGCTCGAAAAAGAGAAGCTGCTGCGCGAGTTAAAAGGATTCAGGGTTTTTTTTTCAGGTTTCTGCTGTGAATAAATGCAGTTTTTCTTTTTTTTATTGTCCATTTTTTTTCAAACCTTGTGTTTGTTCTTTATATAAGGAAGTTTCTTCTGCAATGGTGTATCACATACAAATCAAAGAGATTGAGTATATTCTTCTCAATGTTCCTTTTGGCAAGAAAAGTGTTTGATGTTTTATTTCCTTAGCTTTCAAACCTATCTTTCTTTGTAAAAGTTCAGAATTAAGAAGTATCATAGTTAGATACACATTGTAGTTGATTTTGTGCATGGTGTCACTGGGAAGTGGTAGGATGTTTTTTGCAGGCTTCTCATCGTGAAGATGGTGTGATTCTGCTGTTGGTTTTGCTTCAGTATTTGTAAATGTGCGACTGTGTTTGCTGCTGAGCTGTGTCAGCGTGTAGTTGGGGGATTTATTTTTTTAGATTTTTTTTTTCTCCATTGTTTTTGTTTTTTGTGGCAGCTGGACTGTCAAAATCAAACTTTAGAGTGCAAAAGGAATAAGAGATTTTTTTAAATATTAGAGTTTTGCGCATGCCCTGCGATTTCTGTTTGGCGTGTGAATACAGAGTGTATGCTGAACCTTTAAAACTGACTAAAATATTGTGATATTTTGTAACTGGAATTTGACTGGTCTTTTTTGGTGTGAAGGTACAGTCTCCTATACAACTGCCTAATCATATACATCGCGTACTTTTCAACTCTTTATTAGTTGCATGTCATACAGACATATCAAACACTCTGCTCAATGAGAACTACTGCTTGCTTCTCCATTTCTACTAGCGAGTGGTTAGCAGATGCTCTTGTGTGGTTTGCTCCCTCTTTCCTATCAAACTTCTACAATCGAAATCTCTCCTCCTGCTTTTTTTTTGTTTGTTACACTCTTGGATCACCTCTAATCTTCGGCACTTGTATGACCTTCTGTTGTGTTGCAAGTGCCAGAAAATGCTCACTAAAATTAAAAAGAAAGACTGATGCTACTGCATTTCCCTCCTCAAAAAGTCTGCAAAGGATTGTAATAGTGATGGACTGACTGTAGTTAAAATACATTACTTTTGTTCATAGTTTTTGCATGCATATGCTTTGAATTCCAAGTCCCAGAAAGTTGAATTGCTTTTGAGCTTGTTTATAGAAACAGGATGCCATGTTTGAGATGGTTACGTGTGTGTTCTGTGTGTCGAAATGTGTCGTCTCTTGTTTTTGAATTTTTTGTGTGATTTACTTTATGCTCAAACAAAATAAACAATTTTAAATTAGACTTGGTGTCGGGTTAGTCGTAAGTGATGTCGCTTCATACTGTATAGTACTGCAAGGAACCACCTTGATAAAAAAAATATGAGCTACGTTGTTTCTTGGGCGGTCAAGTTTGTGGGGCAAAACTCCTTTATGGTGCAGACATGAGTGGAAATTACTTGAAACTTATGGCAGGAAGCACATATAAATGGGATCATTGCTTTTTCGTCTATTCTTTACATTAATAAAAATGAGTGAACAGTTTCCTTCTTTTGATGATAATGTTATTTAAACCACCATGATTTTTTTTCAAAAGGTTCTGTGCTTAAAGGACTTTTTTTTCCTTTTTCTTTCTTACATCAAAAAAAGTTAATAACTGGTACTCATCGCTACGAGTTTGCTGTTATTCAGTAAATAGTATGGAGTTAAACATGAACCTTTGAATTTTAACTCCCCAAGAATTTTTTTTCTCAAAGGTGTACCTGTTATACAAATTTTGTTTTCGAATGCTCATTGAAATTAGATTTTAAAAAGAATAAATAAAGTACCATAATTTAATTCTATGGGAAAATTTGTCTCAGAATGGTAAGTATTATTCTTTCGTATTCAATTATTCAATTCATCAACATCACGTGTGACACAATAATACAACCACACAAGTAGTCCAACAAAAACATCATTGCTGGTGGCAGTTAGGCTTTGCCTTGTTTTTGTGTGAGGGTTATCGTGAATAATTTGTGTGAGGGTTATCGTGAATAATTTGTGTGAGGGTTATCGTGAATAATTTGTGTGAGGGCTACCGTGTCTTATTTGTGCGAGTGTTGTGTAGTGTTGTGTTTTATTTGATTGAGGGTTATTGTGTCCTATTTGTGCGAGTGTTGTGTAGTGTTGTGTTTTATTTGATTGAGGGTTATTGTGTCCTATTTGTGCGAGTGTTGTGTAGTGTTGTGTTTTATTTGATTGAGGGTTTTTGTGTCCTATTTGTGCGAGTGTTGTGTAGTGTTGTGTTTTATTTGATTGAGGGTTATTGTGTCCTATTTGTGCGAGTGTTGTGTAGTGTTGTGTTTTATTTGATTGAGGGTTTTTGTGTCCTATTTGTGCGAGGGTAATTGTGTTTTTCTCTAGAAGACTCTTCATTGACCATGCAGTGTCACCAACACATCAAAGAGAAAGGTTGGAAACCAAGTACGTTTAAAATTAGGTTGTGTTGTTTGTTTGTTTTTTGTCTGAAGAGATGGCTTGGAAACCCTCTTGTTTCATGCCTTAATATCTAATCTTGCAAGTTTTTCATCATTATCATTGCCTTTCTCACCCTGCACCAGGGTATAGGCTGTAGACAAATACTTTCCCCCTTTCTCTATCCTGGGATAGCCTCTTGATGTTATTCCATGTCTTCCCACTTTTCTGTGATACTTGTTCCCACGAGCTGAGCTGCTTCTGTCCAGACTGTATCCAGTGTGTTTCGCTGACTCGTAGTATGTGCAGTGTGTATCTCTTCATCTCTTGTGCTACTTGAGAACTCTTTCCTGATTCATACAAGGTGCGAACATTCCACGACGCAGTCTGGAGAGACTTGTTCGACAGAGAAAGTTTCGTGTCAGAAGAGTCCTTTCGACTTTATCAGCTGTCCTTCTTTGTTCCTGCAGATGCAGAAGCTTCTCCGTCTCCCAAGATTGAAAAATAAAATGCTGTGTTTGTTTGTGTTTTTATAACTTTCTGATTTTTACTGGATCGGATAGTTGGCCCTCTGCAAAGTGGCACCTTTCGGACGACCAGACCTTTTCACCTTTTGTCGCATCTTACGACTCGCAGTATCACGGCAGGTATATTCTTTGCAGGGGCCTGCAAGTTTTTTGAGCCAAAAAACAACAACACCAATGCAAGATTAATATTCGTTTCTGGAACTCCTGGCACTCATTCACTGTTTTCTTTGAAAGGATTAATTTCAGACTTACGTGGATTGCAACTGTGACTGTTGATATGTTGGAAATTACTCTGAGGCAGAGCTCACTAACCACTGGTGCTGATCGCACAACAAAAGCTGAAAATTGGGTCTATCATGCAGGCACCAATGGTTGGTGATTGTTGTTACAGAGTCTGTTCCTTTCACATGTTTTCACTGTTGATGTTTTGCATAAACTGTTTCAGGACAAATATATAGCCTTTATTGTGTATATGACAGATGACATAAGATTAATCTTCATTGTCATGTCCAGACACTGCCCAGCAACATAGTACTCACAAAAGTGTCTTGTTTCTCTTCTTCTGCCAGTTCGCGGTGGTGAGTCGTGACGAGAAGCCAAAGACGAAACTGATGTTTGTGTGGACTCCAAACCGCCGTCATGGGCACATTGAGTTCAGGTATGTGTGGCCGTGATCGTTGTACAGTGGGTGGAGCAGGTGGTTGGCGGGTGCTCTAGTGTGGTTTGCTCCTTCTTTCCTATCAAACATTTGTTAAGGGGCTCTCGTCGCCTAGAAGTTATGGTGTTGGCCTCTCATTCAAAGGTCCCGGGTTCGAATCCGGGTAGTGACCGAAAAAAAATTTTCTCTAAAATTGTCTCCTTTCACCTCCTTTCCTGCTCTCTAGCAATGTTCTGTTGTCTGCTTTCATTTCCACTTTCTACCCCCTCACCTCCTTTGCCCCTTCCTATGGGCTCCTGACTCTTTCTGCAGCCTTTCTACTGCTACTCCTTGGCTCCTCCTTACTTCTGTCTTTCTGCCACACCCCTGATCTTCTGGTAGGAAAGATCCACACCTAGCCTTCTCGGACAAGGGCGAAAAATCTCGGAGGGCCCGTGTGCAAGTTGCGCACGTTAAAGATCCCTTGGTGGTCTAAAATCGATAAGAGTAGGCTTCGGCCGCCACCCTGGCAAAATTCAAATTCATAATTTCCTACCAACTGAAAATATTAGGTGTGTCCTGCGCGCTCATATGACCTTATGCAGTTGCGAGCGCCGTAAAACACTTTACAGAAAAAAAACATTTGTTGTCCTTATCTCACCTCCTTTTTTTTTTGTCTTTGTTACTCTTTTGTAACACCTCTCGGCAGTCATATGACCTTATTGTGTTGCATGTGCCGTAAAACTCTTTCTGAAAGGAAACGGTGGGTGGGTCCCCACCTCATGTCCGTCCATTTGTCATGATTCTTAGATCTATATCCTGGATTTCTTTTGAGAGCAAAATTATATTTTTTCTGCGTAGACGTCCGGAGTCCAGTAGCCTAACCTCTTTTTAGTTTGCTTTTTTCCTCCCCTGATGAGCAACAGATGGCTGGAGAATGGCAGTTGTAGCTCCTGCTGCTTTGTTTTCCCTCTGTGTCACTTCTATTGGCGGGTGCTCTGGTGTGGTTTGCTCCTTCTTTCCCATCAAACATCTATCGTCCTTATCTCTTCTTCTTCTTTTTTATGTTTGTTACTCTCTTGTAACACGTCTAATATTCTGGCGCTCATTTGACCTTATGCAGTTGCGAGCACCGTAAAACCTCTACTAAAACTAAAACTAACTGTGTCACTTTTGTGTCTAGATCAGTCTTGCTCTTCCCCCATGCAGTACATTAAATTCTTCCTGTTCCTGCTCACACTGCAACACATTCATCAGATCTCCTACATTGAATATGGTGATTCCTCTTTCTTAAAAACTCTTGACAAATTTAGAGCTATAATGCTAATGTGTATTTAACCCTTATTTGTGGGTGGTTGGTGGGTGCTCTGATGTGGTTCACTCCTTCCTCATCAAACATTCATCATCCTTATCTCTCCTTTTTTTGTGTTTTATTTCTCTCTTGTAAACAAACAACTCTAATCTTCTGCACTTATACTTATATGCCCTTATTGTATTTGTTGCAAGTGCGGTGAAACTCTTACTAAAACAAATTAACCTTTATTTCTGCTTCTTCCAGAGCCACTTTTATTGAAAATGATGATACCTACTGGGTGTCGGAGAAGTCTGCTATTTTGGAAGACCCCACCCCAGGCAATCGGCCTCTGCCCAGATCTAGGGTAAGTTAACTCATTCTGGCTGGAACATCATTGCATGTGTCAATCGATCGATCGATCGTGTATTATGGGTTCACATATTGCCCGGTCCTAGTTTTTGACGCTACAAAACTATTTCTAAAAACAACCTATACAGCTACAACAATATTTTTTTTCCACTCTTTGCCTTTTTTCCCCACAGTTTTTCTATCCCACTCTTTCTGCTATTTTGGTTAAGGCAAATTAATGTCAGCAAAGTCTTGTCAAAATGCATGGGCTTTAAACAGTTAACTAAACCAATGTGAACTGCAATATTTAAAAAGAATATAAAATAGAATTGGTAAAAAAGAATTGTTCATCGATTTGGGTCAATGGTTGCTGGATCAATAACTACAATATAAACGTGGCTTATAATATTAGTGGTCCTTTATGATATGGGTACATTGATTGTAGTGTGCATCGAAAGTAGTGCTTTTTGTAGCATTCCTTCATGACTTGGATAATTTGTATTTCACTGCTTCTTACTGGGAAAAGGCATTTTTTTGTCTATTTAAAAGCAAGACAGTTGTGAGATGTACTTTACTTACTGCTGAAAAGTTCTCCTGCTCCCTATGTTTATTATATTTTCTATGTAACTGGCAGATTAGTCGGTACAAGTGATCAAAAAATAAGTACTGATACAAAGCTGGGAGACATGGGATTTTTTGCTTGCGCTTAAAAAATAATATTCTCAACTTCAGTGTCCTTGGCAGAGTAATGATCTTTGTCAGTCGAACAGTGTAATTAGAAAAATTACAGTTACACAATTTTCCTTCAGTTTTTTTCTCCCCCACTACCCTCCCACGGTACTCTGCCCACACCGCTTCCCTTGTCCCCTGTACATGCGTTTGTGTTTGTATGTTTGCCATTGTAACCCAAATTTCCCCGGAGAGATTGGATTGTGGGTGGTTGGCGGGCGCTCTGGTGTGGTTTGTTTCTTCTTTCCTATCAAACATCTATCAGCTTTATCTCCCCTCCTTTTTTGTGTTTGTTGCTCTCTTGTAACACCTCTAATCTTGGACACTTATATGACCTTATTGTGTGCAATTGCCGTAAAACGCTTACTAAAACTAAAACTAAAAACTTGGATTAATAAAGCGTAATTGAATTTTCGTCTATTTTATTACAGTACACTCCCCCCATCATCACAAGTGAATGCGGCACTTACAAAGGCTGTTTCCGTGAGCCGGCCGGCTGTGAGGAGGCCCAGTGTCTGTACATCCTGACCTGGAGATCTACCCCGGAGAACACGGTCTTTGAGCTGGGAGGCCTGGCCGATGGTGCTGCTGACCGCTACGTGGCCGTGGGGCTGTCAGATGACACGTACATGGTAGGTGCTAGAACTGACAGTGTAGGGGCAGTCAGATGACACTACATGGTAGGTGCTAGAACAGACAGCGAAGGGGCAGTCAGATGACACGTACATAGTAGGTGCTAGAACAGACAGCGAAGGGGCAGTCAGATGACACGTACATGGTAGGTACTAGAACAGACAGCGGAGGGGCAGTCAGATGACACGTACATGGAAGGTGCTAGAACAGACTGCGCAACTGTCAACCCAGTATGTTTGAAAAAAATTAAACGTGTTCAATACAGTTTTGGGAGTCTGATTATGTAAGTTTTTTTTCGTGGCAGAAAATATGTGTCGCGACATCATGGAATCAGGCGCTTGTGAATTATTGAGCATGTGGAGTTTTGTTGCAATTACAGTTTTTTTTTTTGTTACGTCTTCTCATTCTTAGTTGTTCAAACAATTACTTTTTTAAAAAATTCTTGTTTGTTACTTTTTCTCATTCTTATTTGTTCTTACAAGTACTTTTTAAAAAATTGTTTGTTACTTCTTTTCAATCTCGTTTGACTCTTCTAATTCTTGTTCCAATTCTTTTTTGTTACATTTTCTAATTCTTGCTTTTTATTATCTTCTAATTCTTATTCGCCATTTCTAACTCTCTATTTTTTGTGCTGTTTTTTCAGGGAGGTGACACTGTGTTTACTTGTGCCCACAACTCTGCCACCGAGTCCACAGAAGTTTATCTTTCCTACAACCAGGATGACCCCAAGAAAAACGTTCCAGTTCCGAAATATGAAGAGGATGCACCAAGCTATGTAAGTGAATGTCATTTGATATTTGATGGACATACGTATTCATGACGTTCTTGTAAGATTTGTGTGTACACCCGAAAGAAAAGTACCAAAAGCAGCTCCAGACCGTTTGGAGCTACAGGCTGATAATGACCCCAAAAAATCACTTTTTTAAACGAAAATGTGTTTCCATAAAAAATGATAGATAGTTCCACCATTTTCTAACAATGTGTTAAAAGGGTTTTCTTTGATTTGGCTTTTAAATATTTTATTTTTGAATTATTTTTAGGGTATTGCTTAAAAAATACATAATGAAAACTGCTTTTAAAAGATGTTAAAATCTATTCTTGAAACATGTTTTCTCTTCCCTGCCATGTTTTACCATTGAATTTTAATCATGATATGGATGTCAACTGAATGCCGAATTGGAAATGAATTTCCCATGAATAAATACCCTTTAAAAAACGTCTTTTTCAAGTTTATATGTGTTCTCAAGTTTGTTAATTATATCTTTATACCCTACTTCACAAAAATGTGCAATATCTCTCAAAATACTTGAGGTATCTCAAAAATTCAAAAACACCTCTGTGTTCAGCAATAAATTTCCTATAAGGTACAACCCTTGACTCAAAATGGTCAAAATCCGACTTTTGGTACCTTTCTTCAGGCACACACACATTTTCTATATCATTGGCGCTCATTTATACGTTGTTGTTTTAAAGAGGAAAAAATGTCTTTAGTTTATCATTGCCATAAAAGAACTTTTAAAATGTAGACTTTTTTCATTGAAAAGTATGGTTTATTCACTGCTTCAGACATAGCTGCACAAACAAATGGAATGTAGTTTGTAAATGTATCTGACCATGACTATATCATGACTCTGAAATTTGTAGTTGTATTTTATCCAGTTTATAAAGTGGTAGACCTTTGTGCAGAGGTGCGAATTTTATGGATAAATCCAGAAATTATCTGGATTTTGCCCTACTTCACACTGATCATAGTGAAATTATTTATATTTTAATCTCGTTGTGCAGGTCATATTGCACTTTCTATAAAAATACTTAAACTAAGACAATATGATCTGTAAATTTTTAGTAATGCGCTAATGTTTCCATGGAGTCGGAAAATTTGAGATTTTTCTTGGTAACCAGTTGTTAGCCCTGATTGTGTAAGCAATGCAGTGATGGATCAGTTTGACATTATGTCAAAACTAGCGTAAACCTTTACTGTAGCTCACTGGTGATTTCGACCATCACATAGATTATATGTCATTTGTGATATATATATATGTCTCCTACAGTCATCCCGTAGAAGCAAGTACGGCTTCTTGTTGGAAGAAAAAGGTTCTTACGAGAATGCTCGTCTGCGCTGTAAGTTCACGGTGAGGCGAGACCTGGACCAGTACTACGACGAGCTCAAGTCTCTACGTGGAGGACCCCAGCATCTGCTTTTTGCCCATGGCTTTGCTAAGAAAGGTTAGTGTCTGGGGGGGGGGAGATGAATTGGTCACTTTTATGGACAAGCGAGCTAACCCAGTTTTCGGGGGTTTCCAGAAATCTTGACTTACACCAAAAGTGGGCATTGCCCAACCTATAGAAGAAGTTCAGTTTTATTGGTGTGTATATTTGTTTGGTTTTAGAGAAAACTGTCCTTGTCTTTTAAAGAAACTGAACCGGGGTATATAAACTTTACCTCCGATTTTCTCAAAACGGCATTTTTCGCGATAGCCCCCTTGTGCTTAAAAGTGACCAATTGTTACCTAGACATGTACGTCCTCTACGTTTTATTTGTGTTGAGAGTGTATTCATGGGTGGTTGTCAGGTGCTCTGGTGTAGTAATCTCCTTCTTTCTTATCAAACATCTACCGTCCTGATCTCTCCTCCCATCTTTTTTGTGTTTGTGTTTTCGATCAAAGTCAAAGATCTATCTCTCCCCCTTCTTTTCTTTGTATGTTACTCACAAGTATCACATCTAATCTTCGTCACTTATATGACCTTTTTGTGTTGCAAGTTCCATAAAACTCTTCATCATCATCATCAATGCCTTTCACCCCTGGCAGGGTATAGGCCACATACAAGCTCCTTCCATTTATCGCTGTCCTGGGCCATCCTTCCATCCTCATTCCAAGTGAGCTTCATCTCTCTCATGTCCCTTTCCACACATCTCCATGTTTCCCTTGGCCTTCCCCTGCCTCGTGCTCCCTGTTGGTCCATTGCAGCTACTGTCTTGTGATGTTTCATCTGGGCTTTCTGAGGCCATCGCCACTTTCTTATCGTAAGACTCTTGCTAAAACTAAAACTTTAAAAAATGCTCTTGTTTTAGATTTTCTCTCCGTCAGCTAGCTGTGAGTTTTATTTCCCGTGGAGATGATAACATTCTTCTTTCTCTTGTGCCCTTCACAGGTAGTCCCAGCCGACACGGACTCAGTGTTGAGGAGTTGCCTTTGGCTAGTGCTAGCCGAGTTGACATTGCTTCCACTGGCGACTACAACGACCGCGCCAGGTACTCACTGGCTAAGGCTCACGGTAAGTTTGTTTGGGGGTTTTTAGGGGGTGAATGTTTTACGGTGCTCGCAACTGCATACGGTCATTTGAACGCACAGGACACATTAAACATTTTCAGTTGGTAGGGAATTTTGAATTTTGCCAAGGTGGCGGCCGAAGCCTACTCTTATTGATTTTAGACCGCCAAGGGATCTTTAACGTGTCCAATGTGCCCATGAGATCTTCAAGATTTTTCGCCCTTGTCCGAGAAGGCTAGGTGTAGATCTTTCCTACCAGAAGATCAAGGGTGAGGCTGAAAGACAGCATTAAGAAGGAGCCAAGGAGTAGCAGTGGAAAGGCTGCAGAGTTAGGAGCCCAGAGGAGGGAGCAAAGGGGGGGGGGCAGAAAGTGAAGACGAAAACAGCTACAAAACATTGCTAGAGAGCAGGAAAGGAGGTGAGAGGAGACAGTTTTAGAGAAGAAATTTTTTCCATCGCTACCGAACCCGGTACCTTTGAATAAGAGAGGAACACCTTAACCTGTAGGCTACGAGCGCCCTCCACAGTAAGTTTGCACGTTTCCTTTTGCTATATTATGTGCGTAGGACTGCCACAAATTTGTTGCACCAGCCTAGTGTAAATTGTGTACAATAACACTTTATTTCAGCAAGATGAAACTTTGATCACTGCTAGTTATGGTTTTGGGCTGCTAAGCTATGAGTGCAAAAAGTTTTGTGTAAATCTTGCTGCTTTTAATTAAAGTGAAAGGCATATATATACAGTTGAGTGTATCTGACTTTTTTTTGTGGAAAGAAATAATTAAATTTTGTGAGAATTTATATAATTCCCATTATCATTATATTAGTACTATAATTTGTATTATAATTATTGTTATTATTGATATATATGACATTAATCGTCATCAGCAGTAGCATCCTAGAAACCAAAATATACCCCCCCCCCCCCTCAACTTTTATGCTGTTTTTCATGAATCAGACTTATCTAAAAATAACCAAACATTGATCTGTATTCGCCTAGTTTCACACTGGTAAAACGTAAGGGGAGAGCGGGTTTGATCATGCAACAGGAGTTGATACAAACTCTGAATGATACACTGTGTGTATTTGTGTGTGCACGCAGGTTGCTTGATGATCTTGGCCTGGGTGCTGTTCGCCTCCATCGGTTTGTTGCTGACCAAGTACTACAAGCCCATGTGGCCCAACCAGAGGATGTTTGAGCACAAGTATTGGTTCTTGGTAAGTCTCCACGCGAGAATTTTTGTGCCTTCCGTACCAGACTTTATGCAGGCTAGTAGAGCTGTAATAACTCATTTGGAACACGCAAAATAGAGATTTTTAAAAAGAATTAATTAATTAAGTAAAAAGAATTAACATATCATAATTTCAACCTCCTCTTCCTTCCCCATTATTGTCTTTCCGAATATTTTGTAAAGTTTAAATAAGAATAAAAGGGTGAACAATTTGACTCCTTGTTTCCTTTCTGAATAATTTTGATTTTACCAGACCCAGCAATTCCCCTTTATCAAAAGATAATGTTTGAAGAAAATGCTGAGCTCAGACAGAATTATGAGACTAGTATTTTTTTTTATTTTTTAGGAAAGTGAAGGATAATATGATGAAAGAAAACCATTTATGATGATGCATTCATACTGATGAATTTATATTTGTCGTGTTTTTCTTCTTCTGATAGGGTCACTTCAACTGTATGGCCATGGTGTTTATCATCACTATTATCGCCATCATCCTCATCTTCGTGGAGGCAGGAGGCTACAGCGAGGTGAGCACGGAGTTATTGAACGATGAAAGATTGCCAGATTTAGAGTTCTGTTTAAAATTTCTGTGCCTGTTCTTCGTTTTTAGAAATTATCTTTATTTCCCACTTTGCGAAATGTTCACGATTTGCTAGTTGGTTAAAACAGGAAATAGGAGTTGAAATACGTACCGTGGGAAGAGTTACCTTTTTGTTCACTTTTCTCAATGGTTTAGACCGTGTTATAGCAAACCCCACAGTGTGATAATAGGAAATTGATGATAACAAGTTTTTTGTCACGCACAATGAGGATGCCTCTAATTGTTATTACTTCATTACTGTTCCTCTGCTAACTTTTTTCACTGGAGTACAGTCGAACCTGTGTAAGACGGAATCGCAAGGGAGCCTGAAAAATATTCTGTCTTAGATAGGGGAATTTAGGGGGAGATGGAAGGGGGTGGGGGTTCAAAGGCCTAGCCGGTGGGAATCAAGGATCGCTAGTTCAATCGGCAAGCAGTGGTCAAAACTTCACACCTCTCAGCTGCTATACTGTCTGATAATGACATGCGTCAGTCTTACTTATCCAACTACCACCAGTGCTTGCCTTTCATAGGACCCCTGTTTGACCTATTAAAAACAAAAATTTATGAACATCCTCTGGCTTCCACCCTTAACCACACCCATCGGTGTAACAAGCACAGTCAACCAATGCCATCCCTCACAGCCATCTTGTAATTACGATTCGAGGAACTCTTTTTCAGCCGGCGTACGATCAGGGCGGCAGACATTGGTTAAACTAATTTCACACTTCTGGCTTCTGGGTACCCAGGAAAGTTTCCGTAGTGGCTCGCTACTCGAGCACTCTCACGGGCAGTCGTGAGATTTCACACTCACACTACACTGACCATCTGCATCGCTCAGGGCTCGCATGATGGGGTAACATCTACCCCCAAATTGCACCTCTACTCCCCTTCCTCGCCTTGCAGCATGGCCATGGCGTCAAGTTTATAGCCGGCGGAACCAAACTTGCGAGTTTTGTTTCAAATCAGGGCTGAGGGGGCAAAGCATTTCCCGTCTTAGACAGGTGAAACCATCGAAAGGGAGCGGATTTTTCTTTCCGTTTCCGCGTTGGACAGGTTTCCGTTTTATACAGGTTGTTAAAGAGGAATATATCAAGGGGCGAGCGGGAAGATTCCGTTAAGACAGGTTTCCGTTAAGGCAGGTTCGACTGTATAAAGTATATACTATCTCTTTCTGTCTGTTGATGCTTTTTTCTAGCGCTTGATAACCATTATTGTGTAGATTTTGACTATGGGTGTTGGAGGATGCTACTGGTAGGTTCTACCTCGTTACTCTTCCTCTTTTGTTTCCAGCTATCAGTCTTTCTTTTTCCTAGCACTAAGTGGCAGAAATTGTGTCGATGTGTGTTTCCCTTTACTCAAAAAACAAACTGATTAAAATTTTTTCTTAATATGCTATCTTTGTGACTGCTTTTTTCGGATGCCTTGATAGCCGAAGCAGACTTTGTGCTGTTGAGGCTAGATAGGTGAGCAGAGTAAGCCTGATTCCCCGTTTGGACTTCTCTGTTGACATCCACCCCTTGGCCCTCATATATAACCTTATGCAGTTTCTAGCACCACAAAACCTTACTAAAGCGAAAAACAAATTTTTTTCATATATACTCTATTTTGGATTTCTTTTTTCCTCTCCAGGCTCCTGACCTGCCACAGAAGGCCCACCCTATCCTGGGTATTATCATCTTGGTGTGCATCATCATCAACGTAAGTGAACGGTGGATGAAGAGGGGTATCATTGTAAGAACTGCGGAATGAGGGGGGTATCATTGTAAGAACTGCGGAATGAGGGGGGTATCATTGTGAGAACAGTGGATG